GAGAGGTAGAGAAAGAGAGAGAGAGAGGGGGGAGAGAGAAAGAAAGAAAGGGGGAGGGAGGAGGCAGGAGAGGGGAGGGAGAAGGGAGGAGGGAGAGGAGGGAGAGGGGATAGGGCAGAGAGGCAGAAGGATGAGGGAAGAGAGGAGGGAGAGAGAAGGGAGGAGAGGAGGGAGGAGGGAGGAGGGAGAGGGAGGAGGAGCAGGAAGGTAAGAGCGTGAACGTTCGAGGAAGTCCTAGGCGAAAGCGCCGTTCCTGAAGGAAGTCTCGGGCGGGAGCCCACGACGGGCGGGCGATCCCCTGACGGGCGGGTCGGGCGGGTGAAACATTCAAGCGGGATGCCTGAGTATGGCGAAAGCGCGATTCCTAAGTAATGTGTGACGGCGTCCTTGGCGCAGCGTGTTTCCTGAGCGTTGAAAGCGCGATTTCTGAATAAATTGCATGGAACTCACAGGCGAGAGCGCAACTCCAGAATAAAATATGAAGGGCTCTCTTGCGGGAGCGGGGGTTTTGATAAAATTGCGAGGAAGTCTTGACTCAATTGCGAGTAAGTCTCAAGCAGGAGCGCCGTTCCTGAGTAAATGTGAGGACGTCACAGACGAGAGCGGGGGTCCGGACCAAATCGCGAAGAAGTCACAAGCGGGAGCACCGATCCTGAGTAAAGTGTGAGGAAGTCTCAGGCGGGAGCGGGGGTCCTGAGCAAATTTGGCGGAAGTCTCAAGCGAGATTCCGGGGGGCCAGGGGCACAGTTTGAGTACCAAGACTTCCCCCGTCCAAAAACAAGGTGCGAGCGTTGAGGGGCACACTTCGATTGAGGAAAAAAAGCATGCACAGGTGAGGGGGGATCAACAATAGTTAATCTTCAGAAGTGAGGATTCAACAACAACCACAACAACAACACGAACACCAACAACCACCACCAACGACACCACCACCAACAACAACAGCAACAGCCAACAACAAACAGCCTACAACGACAACCAACAACAACAACCAACAACAACATCAACAACTACAGCAAAAACAACATTAACAACGACAACAACCATTTTAAGACAGTTCGTTCTCACATGCTCGAGTGTCCGTTAACACGTATTTCCCAAACCCTCGATGGCCGCCCTCTTCGTCTTCGATCGTACTCCTTTTGGGGGGTATACCTTTCTTCCCTGCAGGCCGGGCCCCGGCAAGCGGTGGGGCGGCCGCGGACCGTCGGCCTGGCCAGCAGCAGCGCTGATCGGCGGCAGCCCGACCCCAAGAGGGACGGACAGGGGACCGACCACGAAGACGACGACGGAGACGATGACGACGACGTCGACGACGACGACAGCGACGACGACGACGAGCGAAAGCGAGAGCCAACAACAACAACGACAACAACCATAACAACAACAACAACGACAACAACGACAACAACAATCTCAACGACAACAACAACAACAACACCACCAATACCAACACCAACCACTACATTAACAACAGCAACAACAACAATTACTACGACTACGACTACGACTACAACTACTACAACAACAACAACAACTAATACTACTACAACTACTACTACTACCACCATTACTACCACGACTACTACTATTACTGCTACTGCTACTACTACTACTACTACTACTACTACTACTACTACTACCACCACCACCACCACTACTACTACTACTGCTGCTATTACTACTACTACTACTACTAATACTACTACTACTACTACTACTACTACTGCTGCTACTACTACGACTACTACCATACTACTACTACTACTACTACTACTACTACTACTACTACTACTACTACTACTAGTACTACTACTACTACTACTACTACTACTACTACTACTACTACTACTACTACTACTACTACTACTACTACTACTACGACTACTACTACTACTACTACTACTACTACTACTACTACTACTACTACTACTACTACTACTACTACTACTACTACTACTACTACTACTATTACTACTACTACTACTACTACTACTACTACTACTACTACTACTACTACTACTACTACTACTACTACTACTACTACTACTACTACTTACTACTACGACTTACTACTACAGCAACAGCAACAGCAACAGCAACAGCAACAACAACACCGACAACAGCAACAACAGCACTAGCAGCAGCAACAACACCGTCGTCGACAGCATCAGCATCGTTAACAGCAACACCATCATCATCAGCAGCAGCATCCCTCCTCGCCTTCCCTCATCCTCGCCCTCCTCCTCCTCCTCCTCATCATCATCCGCCCTCCTCCTCCTCCTCCTCCTCGGCGTCCTCCTCCTCCTCCACCCCTCTCCCTTACAAGCAATGCCTCCCTATCGCACCCCCAAAACGTGTGGGTACGGCCGACCAGGTTTGTCGCCTGAGCCTCCCTCACCATCGATGGCCCTGACGCTTGAAAACTGCAACAACTTCACGGATGGAGGACGGGCCGTCTTCATGTGGCTCTCGCCCCAGCGCCGCGCACAATCGCCCTGAAAGCCTGCAACAGTTCCAGGATTTCCCATGGCCGAAGACGCAGGAAAAGGTGTTCTGGCAGTTTTAAAAATTGTCAGGACGCATCTAGCAAGTGGGTTCGCACTGTCGAAGTCCCAGGGACGGTGTTCTTGCACGTTGAAGGACCGTCAGGAGGCCACAGTCACCCTGATTCGCGACGCGGACTTCCCAGGAATTGTGTTTTGGCGGCACCGTTGAGGATTATCCGACGGTTGTCTTCCAATGAGGCATTTCCTGCGATGACACTCTCATTGTCCTCCTCATCCTCCGAATTCTCCTCCTCCTCCCCCCTTCTCCTCCTCCCTCCTCGTCCGCCTCGCCCTCCTCCTCCTCCTCCTTCTCCCTCCTCCTCCTCCTCCTCCTCCTCCTCCGTCTCATCGTCTTCCTCTGTCTCCGTCCCCTTCTGCTCAATGTTCTCATCTTCCTCCGTCTCCGTCTCCTCATTCTCCTCCTCCTCTTCCTCCTCTTCCTGCATCCGTTTTCCTTATGGATAACTCATCCCTGTCGCACCCCCAGACGTGTCGGTATGTCAGGCGGGCAGGGCGCTGGGCCTGAGATTCCCTCACCACACATGACCCGGACGCTTCAAATTTGCAACCGGTTCACGGACGAAGGGGGGATGGTTTGCGAAATGTGGCTCTCGCCTGAAAACCGCACACATTCGTAGTAAAGTTTGGCACTGCTTCACGGATGGAGGGCGGGTGTTCAAAATATTGCTCTCGTCTTAGCGCCACGCACATTCGTTTCAAAAGATTGAATCCGTTTCACGGACGGAGCACAGGTTGTTTCCAAAATGTGGCTCAAGCCGCAGCGCCGCACACAGTCGTCTTGACGGTGTGCAGCAATTGCAAGAATGGAGGGCGGCTCCTGTCGGAAGTGTGGCTCTTGCCGTAGCGCTGCAGACATTCGTCGCAAAAGTTCGTCACTGTCTCACGGGTGTAAGGCGGATCCTCTTGAAATGTGGCTCTCGCCTTGACGCCGCGCACCTTCGCTATCTGTGTAGTTTGCACGAGCTTGGCGGATTAAGGGCGTTCCCTTTGCCAAGAGGGGCTCTGGCCTCAGCGCCACGAGCACTCGTCACAAAATCCTGCAACAGCTTCAAAGATTGAGCACTGGCCGTTTCCAAGATGGGGCTCTCGCCTCAGTGCCGCGCATATTCGTTCATTTCTAACGCAGCGTTGAACAGGACGGAGTTCTACCCTTTTTTTCAACCAGAATGGGCCATTGTTTGAGACTTCGCTCCCGAAGCTTCAACGCACGCTGCGCTGCACGGATCCATGACGGCTCATTTTTGAAAATATGGCTATCGCTGGGGACTCCCTCGATGTGTGTGACCACAAATGTGGACTTCCGCAACAATTGCGCGGATCAAAAGCAGGTCCTTCTTCGATAGGGGGATCTCGCCGGACACCTCGCTGAACTGCATGATCATTATTGTTCGAGCTCGCTCCTGACACGAGGCGGTTATCTGCAAGGCAATTACTTTACAAGCGAGGGCCCTCGCCAAAACTGTGCTGCTCTTTCAAGGGGGGGCTCTTTTGTAATGAAAAAACTTGCATGGGCGTGTGAGGGGACTTTTGACGTAACGGTGTATTGCAGCCTCGTGTTTTCACATCCAAATTTCTCTGGTCCTCCTCCTCCTCCTCCTCCTCCTCGCGTTCTCCTCCTCTTCCGTCCCCTCTTCTTCTTCCTCCTAATCCTCCTCCTCCTCCTCCTCTTCCTCCTCCTCCTCCTCCTCATCATCATCATCCATCTCCTCCTCTTCCTCCGTCGCCGTCTCCGTCTCCTCCTCCCCCTCAGCCTCCTGATCATCCTTCTCCTCCTCCGTCCCTCCTTTTCCTCCGTCACCGTCTCCGTCTCCGTCTCCTCCTCCTCCTCCTTCTCCTCCTCCTCTTCATCCTCCTCCTCCTTCTCCTCCTCCTCTTCATCTTCCTCATCCTCCTCCGTCCCGTCCTCACCATCATCCTCATCCTCCCCCCATCCACCTCCTCATCCTCATCCTTCCCCTGCTTCTGTTGCTAAACTTGGGCCCCGACCCTACTAGTGGATCGGGGAAGAAGGTGTTCGGACATGGTTGCAACATGCTTCGCCGCGTTGGGTCCTCCTTTTGGGGCCTCTGGGGGCCTCTGGGGCCATCCGAGGCATGCTCTCGGGAGTGAGCAGAGCTTACAAGCTGCTGCGGGGCGCTAACCCGCCGTAGATCACAAATCATCGAATCCATCCCTCCTCCTGCTCCTACTCCTCCCCCTTCTTCTCGTGTATCCGTCAACGGAGGGGGGCAATACACGTGGGGTGAGGAAACATGCACCTTCCGTGCACCTGTGGGGCGCGCGGTGACACTCGAGGGGCCGTTTGGGGACCCGTCAAGCACACTTGCCAGCAATCCTCGACCCCGCAGTCCATTGTCCCCCATTGCCGCCTGCCCGATCGTCTTTCTCCGCCCTCGTCCCCCCACACGTGGCGCGCACCTCGCGCCCGCTTCACCCCTGCCGCACCAGCAGGTCCGAATACCGGCTGGGCTGGAACAGCGCCATGTACGGCGTCACCCTCAGCGGCGACGGCAGACGCGTGGCGCGGCCGCCCTCGTACCGCAGGGCCAGGGGCAGGCTGGGGTCCTCCGCCCGCGGCAGCAGTTCCCCCGGCTCGCCGAAGATCACGTGCCACAGGAACTCCATGACGTAGCACGGCTTGGATCCGACATTGCAAGCTCCGCCCTGTTCCCTCGCATAGGGCGCATCCGAGATCAGCCGTGCCAGGTCCTCATAAAAGCCGCGGTCTCGCGCCTGGATGCGGCCTCGGCCGACGATGAAGTGGGCGCAGCAGTAGGAGCTCAGGGAGCCATTCAGCTCCTGCCCGAAGACCTGCTGGAACACCGCGCGCAAGCACGGCGTGCGGAAAGCTGGGTACCGCTCGTGCACGAGGTGCAGGAACGGCGAGCTGTAGCTGCCGATCCGCAGGCCCCGCAGGGCCAGGTTCAGCAGGGACGTCCGGATGTGGCGGGGCCCGTCGTCGTGCACGAACACTGTATATGGAGGAAGATAAAGCGGCGGCATACACAAAAACTTTCGGAGCTCCGCGCGGATATATTGGATCGGCTCTGGGTCCCCCTAGTGGCGCTTCAGGCGCCGCCCCTGGCACGCTCCGCGCGCCAGTGAAGGGGTGTCCGTCTCCGATCCCAGAAATCCGCGCGCAGCTCCGAAAGTTTATGCTGATGCCGTTTTTCTTCTTCGAGTATAGTCAGCCAGGTCGCCCGCACGGAGCGCGCGGACAATGTGCGCAAGATACGCGGTGCACTCGGCGGTCATGAGCCCGAGCGCCCCCTGCTCCGGCGCGGGCACGTACTCCACGGCGGCAACGGCGCCCCGCAGTCCCGCCGTCTCGCTCTCGAAGTCGTCGAGCCCACTGCCGCACTTGTCGTAGACGAGCACGCGCGCCCTCTCTGGCAGGTCGAGCTCCCAAAGCCAGCGCAGAGAGGACTTGCAGCGGGCCACCACAATGTCGACCGTTGGGCCAGCACTGCCGCCCGGAGCCGCGGAGAGACCTTGAAGCCACGGCCACGCCTTCTGCAGGCTGCTCCACGCCTCCTGCACCGGGAACATGTCCAGCATGATCTGGAACTGTTCCGGAGACCTCCGCTCCAGGGCTAGAGCGTAGCCCTCCGCCTCCTGTGCATACGCGCCGGCCGCCGGGGACCCAGAGAAGGCCGTCGCCTCGGCGAGCAGCAGTAACGCCGTGACCACCAGGCCGGGGCAGTCCTGCGCCAGCCCGCCGCGCTGCTCCAGGCTCGTGCCCAACACCAGCCAGGCGGCGTCCTCCAGCGGCGGGACCGACGCGCGTGCCGGGCCGCGGTAGAACCGGTCCGCCCTCCTCTGGATCGGCGGCTGCAAGAGGGGCGGATAGCTAGCCCGAGGGGGGAAAACATTACCTGGATCCGTGGGGGCACGACTTTTGCACACCACCGTAAAACAGGCTGGTCCGGCACCTGACCGTGGAGCGGGGATTGTTTCGTGCACAAATGGCACCCCCTGGGGGCGCGACTTTCGCACACCACCCCCACAAACAAGGTGGCCCGGCACATGGTACCCCTCGCATGGGCGGTGGCCATAAATCGGACCCCAAATCCGGGCGCTCCGATCGCCCATGTCTTCGACCGGGCTCTCCGCCGAGCGCGTGCAAGATGCCCGCCCCTGGGATTAAGTCGGGCGCGTCCCCCTACAGGGGGATTTTGGACGAATGATAAGAAATACTCAAAACATATCCTGGCGAAGGATCCAACCATGCGCAGTTGTGAATACCGCAATCATAAACATCATCTTTGCCCGCGCTCCCTATGGGGCCACGAACCGTGCGAGGGGCGCGCCGAGATGCGCGGCGGGGCACGCGACGCGAGCGAAGACGATGGGTCTGCGTGCGAGAGACTGAGCGCGAGTGAATCTGATTGTGAATGAGTCTGCGTGCGAAACAGTCCACGCGCATAAGCGTCGACGCCCACGTCGGCGCGCTCCTCCCGAGGATCGCGCCCGCTTCTTTCCCGTTCTTTTTTCATTGTTTGTTGTATCAATCTCTCTCTCTTTTTCTCTCTCTCTCTCTCTCTTTCTCTCTTTCTCTCTCTCTCTCTCTCTCTCTCTCTCTCTCCCTCTCTCTCTCTTTCTCTCTCTCTCTCTCTCTCTTTCTCTCTTTCTCTCTTTCTTTCTCTCTCTCTCTCTCTCTCTCTCTCTGGCCAAGCAGGATACCAGGGCCAATGGTATCTACCACCGAGGCCGCGTCGCGTCCCCAAGCAGGGATTGCCCGACGGCACGAGGCGGCCACCAGGGTTCACAGGGACGGGGATGCCTGAAGACCCGTCTCCCGACCAACCGCTGTGGAAGGAAGGCTACGTGCTCTTCGGCCCGCACCAGGCCCTCAAGGAAGATTTCATCTTCAACAAAGCGGTGCGCCGACCTTACTCCCTAGCCATCACCAACATGTACAGGGATCGTGTCACAGTCAGGACCGTCTGCGAGTCTATCGCCGAGCGCATCCACACTACCCGCGCGCGCTGGCGGGACGTGGTACTGTACTGGGATGCCGAGGGCGGCCCTGGGCCTCAAGCTCTCGACTACGACATGCGCCTCTGCGACGCCATGGTGAGTCGTGCCACGACCGAAGCCGAGTTGAACCACGACCGCAGCAACCGTGGCAGTTTCTGTCTCTATGGACCAGCGCACCAGCGGGCTGTGAACATCACGGTGCTCCCCGAGCCGCAGAACATTGACTTCGTGGAGCATGTACGGCGCTACTCACCTGACGGGGAGACTTACCCAGACCATGCCTTCGAACACGTCTACCAGGGCTGGCGGCGGCCCGACGTGCCGCCCATCCTCCCCGACACCCGCCCGCTCTCGAGAGCCGACCAACAGCGCTACCAGCAGCACCAGCAGCGCACCCAGCAGCGCGACCAACGCGACGCAGGTCAGCCGAGCACGCCACGCAACCGCTCTCCCGCGCGCGTCCCGACAGGCGACAGAGCGGTGTACGGCGGAGGCGCCGCCTACCACCGTGGCCCCATTGGTGCCAGGCCCGCGGCGGCAGGGGCAGCCGCCTCCAGCTACGGCCACGTCCCCCACGCCAGGGTGCACCCAGCGGTCGTCGGCTACCCGCGCGCACTCGCGCAGGCTCCCCCACGGGCCACCTCGCCCGCGCCAGGGTCCACGCGTGCCTGGGGCCATTACCCAGGCCGCCACGACAGCACCGCCAGCAACCAGTCCGCAGCGGCACCCCCTGCGGCTTCAGCCCAGGGGGCTGCACCAAGCCGCGGCAGGACAGGGCGCCCCGAAGGATGGCGCGAGGCGAACGTGCGCGCCTGGCAACCGCGCCAACACACGCCCCCGCCAAACGTGGCCGCAGCGCAGCGCCCTGCCCAGGCAAAGCCCGCCCCCCCTGAGCGCGAGCGGCAGCCGCTCGTCCCGCTCGTCCTCACGCACACCCAGGCACACCACAGCGCCTCCCCGCGGCACAGCGAGGGTAGCGCCCACCGCGTCAGCCCCCGGCCTGACGCCGCCGACCCTGACCAGGCTGCAGCCTCGGCGGCGGGCGGCACAGGCGGCTCCCGCCCGCCCAGCCCAGCACCCAGCGCAGCGCCGATCCGCTCCCCGAGCAGGGCGGACTCTGCGCGCGCCAACGCCCAGGCGGCCTCGCCACGTGACCGCCACACGGGCGGGCGCGTCCCGCGCAGCCGGCCCAGCAGCCGCCACAGCTCGCGCAAGCCCCCTGGGAGTTCCACGAGCTCGCCGCCCCGCGAGACTCAGGCTGACGCCCAAGCCCCCGAGGTGGTGCCACGTTTCGGTGCCGGCGCCAAAGACCCTAACGAGGTCGACCTCGAGCCGACGCCGTCCACGGACCAGGAGCTGCCACCGCTCACCCGCGTCGTCGCCCCCGACGAGGCGCCGACCTTCGACCCCTACAAGCACAAGTACTCCGTCAAGGACCTCGCGGCGGGCTTCGGCGGCGGCTCGCCGCTGTCTCCTCAGAGCCACGGCGCCGCCCCCGCCACCTCTGCCGCTGCCGCGGCAGCGGCGGCCCCGCGTGGAGTCAGCCCTGTCCGCAATGCGAGCCTCACGGCAGCGGGCATGGACGAGGCCCAGCGCCAGGCCACCGACCGCGCCGCTCGCCGCGCCCAGCTAGTGGCTGACGCGCCGGCAGGGCGTGCGCCGCCGCAGCCACAGGGCCCACCGCCCGAGGCGAGCGCGGAGGGCGCACATGAACAAGCTGTTCCAGCTGATGCTGCTCATCACGGCACTGACGGGGCGGGCGCGCCGCCGCAGGACGGACCAGCGGCGTCGCGTGCGCAGTATTCGCGCGCGCGCTGCGCCGCTGCTGCGCCGCGCTGCCGCCGCTGGTTTGCTTTTGCTCTTGCGCTCGGCAGGATGGATCGAGGAGTCGCCTCCCTCTCCTCCTGCTGCCGTCTCACCTTTCCTCCCTCCGCCCCCCACGGTACAGGAGTGAGGAGGTTTTTTCGAGGTAATTTTGTCGATGTTTATGAACCCCCCCCGGCGCAGCGTCGACCATGCCTTGCCTACACTTTTGGCCCGACGGCGGCTTCAGCCCCGTCCAAGCCAATCTGCTGCGACGCCATGAGCTCCCACTGTGGCCAGGCCTCCTACCTGGGTGACGGCCAGGCCGCCCTCCACCGTGCGGGGCGTGCTAACCCCAGGCTCCACCGACGGAGACTGTGGCCAGGCCTCGGGTGACGGCCAGGCCGCCCTCCACCGTGCGGGGCGTGCTAACCCCAGCTCCACCTCCAGGTCGCTCCAGCCTCAACATCACGAGTCTTCCAGCGAACTGGCCAACCATTACCGCCCTAGGTGTCGACCACAACGCCGCAGTCATAGCGCTGCAGGAGACCCGTCATGCCAAGACTACCAGGCAAGCCATCGCCACCAACGCCGCCAATCCACACCACGGAGGATACCAGGCCAGTCTGGGACCTGACCTGGACCTGGCGCGTGCCCAGCGCAAAGCTGCTCACGGTGGCACGGACCACACGGTCGAGGGCAACACCGGCGCCTCGGGCGGGGTTGCCATCCTCTCTAAGGACGCCATCGTCGACTCCACCGTCGACGACATTGCGACCTGTATCGCCACCCTCAAGGCCAAGAAACGATGGCACGAGGTCTTCCTCCCGCTCTGCACCCAGCACCGCCGCAGGCGGCGACGAAACAACCACGGTCCCGCTGGGATCTACATTGCGAGCCTCTACGGGGTCGCTGGAGGGGACAGCACCGATATATTTCGGCTTGCTGATTGCGCCGCCGCTAGGGTCGGCTCAGCCCCGTATTTCATTTGTATGGACGCCAACACGAACATCGACGACAATCCACACCTGCTGCACATGATGCAGCACGGATGGTCCAACGTCGCTGAAGGCACACCAGACCACACCATGCACACATATGGCAATATCCCTGACTGGGACCGCGTCACCAAGTGCCCCCGCACTTCGTGCATCGACTACGTCATCGCCAACCAAGCTGCGCGATCCCTTGTCACCGACTTCTGCTATCTGCGTGGCTTGCCAGCGAAGTCCCATGTTGGCCTGCAGGTCACACTCGACCTAAGCCGCCTCGATCACACGGCCCCACGCCTCTTGGCCCCCACGCCATACCCTCCAAATGACGGAGCTCATGAGGACCACGAACTCCAGGCACTAGGGACCCACATCGCCGGACGATACCACGACCGCATGGAGCAGGCTGACGCACGCGACGATGTGGAACGCATGTTCGCCCTGGCAAACGAGGCCAGCCATGAGTACCATCTCACCCGGCTGCGGGACCTGCCGCCCCCACCGCCAGACCACCCAAAAAAGAAGGCCCCTACCATGCACGGGCTCACACCCACGTTCGAGGAGCGACCCGCCGTCCCCCGCGCCTTTCCCACCTACGGAGCTTCCACGATTCACATGAACCGCCTTCGCAAGCTCCATCGGCAACTTTGCGAGCTTCGCTTCATCGGACTGCACCATCATATAGACTGCCGTGCTATCCCGCCGCACCTGGCGCAACGCATCGACTGCACGTGGGCCGCGGCCCGCCTTCTCTGCCACAAGCTGCGCCCCACGGCCCTCCTGGCTTTTCCTGACGCCTGGACCCCCGACGTGCCAGCGCCACGCGGAGAGCAGCTCGATCGTCTGATCCAAAATCTAGACTCGGAGCTGGCGCGACGTGCAAACCGAGCCAAAGCTGAACGCATCAAGATCTGGTCTGAGGGCGTCCGCGAGCCAAGCGGGCGAAAGGCGGCCATATACGCACGGGCTGCCGACTGCTCGCCCACGGCGTATCTCCGCACGCCTACCACTCCCGACGATGCACAGCTCCACTGCGACATCACCGCCTTCAACCCTGACCAAGCTAGCACGGACGACAGTGACGCCGACACCGACGCCGGCGGCTTCAGCCCCGGCGACGGTAGCTCGCCCGACACGGACAACGACGACGGCCCCATACGTGGCCCACTACCAGCCCAGGTTCCCGACGCCCTCCCCGCCAACGCTATCGTTGCCAACACCAAAGACATGCTCAAGCTCATGGTCGACACCTGGGAGCCCATCCTGGGCACGTACCGCGCTCGCGCGGGCCATGACGCCGAAGCTATGCCGACGTGGGCGGACTTCTACGACGAATACCGCCAAGAGCTGCCTACGCCATCA